TGTTGATGATTGTAATTATTACGTTTATCTTTTGATGATAGGACAATACCTGACCCAACCCACTCTTGATTACGCTACTATTTTTTCGGTTCTTTTTTTACTATTTTGATAATCTGTAATTTTCTCAGAAATATATCTTGTCTAAAACTAATCACAAATAACGCAAAAATGAAAATGAAAATAAAACTGCTCCTTACGTTTTATAAAAATCATAACAAACATGACGAATATATTTTTAGAGTTTTCTCATCCTTCACATACTGTGTGAATCTAGACAGATATTTGGTGAAAAAAATTGCAAGTGTATTGTTTGATGACTTGAATAAGACTACATATAGTCTGACCTATAGCCTAAAAACCTTTGTTCCTCTAATCAGCATTATTCGGCAAACTTCATCGAAAAATTCTGATAGTAAAAATTAGGAGCACTTTTATTTTGTGTATGAATAAAAAAATATAAGGAGAAAACATTTCTGAGGAGATTATATATAATTTGACGTTGCACCTTTCATCCAATCGATCCATATAAAATAACTTTTTGCTTATTTGTTTGGAATTATAATCATTCTTTTGATAAACTAAATATTTGGACGAAAACTTGCATCCAGTAAAATGAATTCGCACAACTACAAATTGGATGAAACTTTTGCAAAACATCCCTCCATTTATATTATATTTCTCAACATAGAAATACTTTTATTGAAGACTAACTTTATATTTGAACTCAGCAAGAATGTGGCGTTCACGTAGTGGACATCCGCATGTTTACAAAAAATTTCCTTGCACCCTTTTCGTACTTTTTTCTCGTCACCACATCCCTGGAAATACAGAGATTTTACATTGAAAAAAGTTTTTCGTATTTGTCTTTTTCAGGCTATAGAGAGTAGCCCAAAAATCAGTTTACTAAGAAAGAATTGAATTTCTTTGTTACAGTTCGAGAAAACGAGCTGAGATAAAATACGCACAACCAAATGAACTTTAGATCATCATGCGTCATTCGTTCAGATACTTTTTCTCTTGTGATTTTCATCCTTTAGCTCTATTAATAAATGAGAATAAAACTGATGAAAAACACAGAAAACAAACTTAATCAGAAAGAGTATGCGAATATAACCAACAGAGTAGGAAGAAAAGAAATTGATATCAGATACACTATGTAAATTTATAGTAGAACAAAAAAGAAAAAGAAGATAAGGTAAGCGAACGAACAACATATGACGGTCAAAATTTTCTTTCATTATTTACATTTTATCTTCATGAATTGACTCTTCGTCATCGTACATGATTTTATCCTCTCTGTAAAAAAAGTAAAGTTTATTTTTGTTAAAACCAATAGTAATACTTTAAAAAAGTTCTATCTAGCCTTGTCTTGATGAATATGGAGTGTAAACATGTCTTTTTTATTGTTAAAAAAATCAACCCAATCGCTCAGGTCGTAATAGAAATATTCATTTGGTCTTTCTAAGTCAGAAAAAAAACATATGTCCACCTAGGTTGTGGAAGAATATCCATTATGCCGTAAGACTCTTATTTCTCTTTCTAAGAATTTTAATTAAACTTTAAATCATTTGTTTTTATCTATTATATGAGCTATATACCTTCCACAAGCTATCTGTGTTACTTCTGAACCCATTAATTCAGAAATTTTTCTTGGTAAAAGTTCATCATTTGTTGAATTATGTCCAAGTTGTCCATAAGTACCGGATCCAAATGAAAATACTCCACCGTCAACTGTAACAACGACTGAATGTTTTTCTCCACATGCAGCATATGTCACTTTTTGTTGTTGTAATGCTTTTATATTACTTGGCCATACGCGAATATCAGTATCACTAAGACCCAATTGACCAGATCTAGATAGAAGATTTTTATTTTCTAATTTTTCAAACGAAAACAAAACGACAAATGTTTACACTTACGCATTAAGGCCACATGTAAATACTGTTCTAAAAATATGAATAAATCAAACAAAAAAGAATCAATAAAACACAAATTTCTTTTTTTGTTTTCTTCTAATTTAACAAACCCGCTCTTAGATATAATAACAGAATGATAAGCACCACAGGCAATATATACAATTGGACTACCACGTAGACAAGCAATTGGTGTAGCACTTCTACAGCCTTTATTATGTCCTAATCCAAGTTGTCCATGCGCATTAAGTCCTATGGCATACACTGTACCATCCTGTATAGAATCAACAGTTTTCAATAAAAAAGAAGAAAATAAAGAAATTAATTGACTTACATCAGTTAGTCCAAGACAATGATTATAACCGGCAGCAATTTGTATCACTCGTCTATCATTAAATCCTCCCAACTGTCTATTTTTTTCAATATAATAGATATTATTTTAATATATAAAAAATAAACATACTCAGGTTTACTATAAAAAAGACCATCATCATTTGTGATTTTTCCACTAATTGAACCCCAAAGAACAATTTTTCCACTTAATGTAAGGCACATTGAAAAATATTGTCCACATGCTACTTGTACACCGTCATCATTTGGTGGTAATATTACTTTTTCTAAATAAGAAAAAAGAAAAGAAAAGAACATCATTAAAAAAAAGGAAATTCTGATTGAATTTTTATTAAATATTTGCCTGGTATAGTTGTCCGTCCTTCTCTGCCCAACTGTGAATATTCGTTATTTCCAGCAGAATAAACAGTACCATCACGAAGTAAAAACAAGGAATGTGTTAGTGAACATGCAACTTGTATACATGTGTAATCATTAAAAAGTGGTATACGTTGAGGTGTAGAGACAAAACTAGCTGTTGAAGAAGGGCCTAAACCAAGTTGACCATGAGAATTGACACCCCATCCTAACATGATATCGTTTGATACAGAGAGACGTATTATTTGACTATTTTGACAAGTAAAAGAAAAAGAAAATGAATAAATAATATTAAAATTCTAGAAGAAAAAAGAATATCGAAAATTGACAAATACAAAAAAAAACAGGAGACATGCTCATCATACTTCAAGGAGAAATAAAAAAGGAAAATTAGTCATATACATCCTAGTTTTTCAATTCTATCCAAAGAGTTGCAAATACAGGTAACTTTTTCTTTTCAAAGCTTATTTCTTCTAACAACTAATGACTTTTAACCAGTAAGCAGTTTTATCGAAACTTTTTTACTAGTAAAAGATGGCGTAAGAATATTGCATTGCTAATTATTATCGTGTATGATTCTTTTCTTATTTCTAAATAAAAATGCACTCAATATGATGACTCAATGAAGTACGTATAGTATGTTCGGGTAGTTGACAATGTGGGTGTGAGCTCTCTATATTCATATCTTTCAGATATGATACACGTCGGAAGTAGAAAAGAAGTACTTGAAATAGTTTTATTCGGAAGCATCGAGAATTCCTGCAGTCTTTGTATTCGGTATCTACGCATAATTTAAAGTCATCTATCCAAATATATCATATATTCTGCTACATTAAGCATATACATGAAAATACTGAGTGTTCCAGAATGTTTACAACATGGGTTATTTGGCGTATATCTGCATATAAACAAAACATAAAGCCTTGAGTTCTTCTTTGTCATAAAGTATAATGATATGAAATATGTCAGTTTTACTTCTTTTTATAATAATTTTTTCCGATTTTTTTGTGGTGTCAACCAGTACCTAAACCATTGCATTTTGTATTTCAAGGAAGTATCAAAGCTTTCATCAGAATGACATAAAAACGTTTGATCATAATTGATATGAAAACATTTTTTTTAATAGAAATGCACTCATTTGAATCATATTTAATCAGTAATGATGAATAATACATAAAAGCAATAGATGATGATATTAATGCTAATACTAATACTAAACAGTCAATTTAGCAATACATTTATTGCGATATCATTGGAAACAAAAAGATCTTTTATTATTACAAAATGTGTCATAAAAACTTTTGATACACATATTTATAATAAGAGTTTTGCATAATGTTTTAGAAATGTTATTTATCCAATGTTCAATTTCCAAAGAAAAATAATGAATCATAAATGTTGTTGAAGCTTGGAAAAAAATGCTTGAAATAGCAGTAGCAAAAGGCAGAGAATCTTAAATAAATATAAGTTTTCGATTGTATATATGAAAACTCATCCAATCCTCAACCATGAAAAATGATGTACATAAAATTGATATCATATTTAGAGATAAATTTCCTTTTTGTCTTCCCTAGCTCTTTCTTTAAATGAGAAATTCTTCATTATTCCTATACGATAACATTTGTATTTATAGCTTGTTTTCTATCGAGTGGTCGTTACTTCATTGATTTGTATATCTAAAACTTCGCAGTCAGCGTAAACGTTAATCCACAATAGAATACCTCAGGTCTTCCATGATGACGAGAGGTATAATTGAAACAATAATCTAATTATACATTCGAATATTACGAAGATTTTGTAAAGTACTTTTTCATTTTTTATATGTAAGTTACAACAAAGTACAAAAAAAAAAAACAACGATCTAATCTTTTTTGTTTATAATGAACAACAATAATAACAAGCAAAAGATAATTGATGTTTCTTTAACCAAGTCGTTCAAGTGCTTCAATCATTAAAACACTATTTCCTCGTGCAACAACCATTCCAATAGGACGTTTTTCACCAGTTTTAACAGCTTCATAAGCTTCATCAATAACCAAATTCATAAATGGATCAAAACCACGTAAAACACCAATGACTGTACGATTTCCATTTAATTTTAATTGACATTTTTTATCCATAAATTTTTTTAATTCTGGTGGATTTGCCTTACCTAAAACAAAAATATTTCCTTTTTAATTATGATTTACATAAAATATTTCATTATAATTTACCGCTCATAATAAAGCAATTTTTCAAATAATCAAGAAAATATTTATCTAAAAATGAAAGACTAAATTACGTGACCCAAATCATAAAGCACTAAATAAAAATCGCAAGAACAAAGAAAAAAAAACGAATAGTTTTTCATAGAAATAAAGAGCGAAATTTAATCAATCATTAATGTTGTTTTTCATTGGGTGTCATTTGAAGAACAATACGGATACTAAAAAATAAAATAAAATTAATAAGAATGTATTTATTCTTGTGTCTTTGTTTTTTGAATTACCATTTTCCAGCATGTAATAAATCAAATGCCTCATTGATCTGTTCGAATGGCATTTTATGAGAAATAAATGAATCAAGGTTCATTGTACCATCTTTTGTTTCTTGAACCAATTTTGGTACACTATCACGACTTTTCCAACCTTAAATTTAATACAAGAAAAAAAAAATGTAGACACAATCTCTATGATATTCAAATATAAAGCACGATTTAGCTAATTACAGGGAGTTTGTTTTATTCTATTTATTTTGGAAGGCATTTCTTCACCACACATTCATACGAAAAAAAATTTCACTGAGAAAATGGCTTGATTTACCAGCAATGTCGCAAAGGAGCAGCATCTGAATCGTAAAGTCAATCTTTCCGTGCATCTCAACATTCAATATCAGAGATTAAGAAACACTATTCAATAAATCCTGGCTATTAAAAATATAGATCTTGCCAATTGGCAACCCTATCTATTATGAATCAAAATTTTGCAAAATTCAGTTTTTTTGTATTCAACTATCAAACTGCAACGTTTTGCGGTTTTTTTTTATACATCAAATAAATATAAAAAAGGCAAGATACAAATATTTATAGGCTGCTTTCATGCAACTCTTGCCGCTTTTAAGTATGCTAGTCTTTTAATTCTCGTCAAGCAGTATCAGAATTTATATTTAGTTTTCATTCGATTCATGCACTATTGCAACAGAACAGGCTAAAAAGTCGACTCTATCTGTTTGATTCTTTATGAGCGTTCTTTAGGAATTTCGATTTAACAATTGAATGGAGTATCAAAAGTTATCCGTATAAAACGTTTTCAGAACTAGATCTCTCGAACTCATTGTTTAAGAGGATTTGCATATTTCGAAAAATGACACTGTATTCTGAGATAGAACGAATGATATCGGGGATGGTTTCGTGTGAGTGTTGGTATCGATTTTCTATTCGTCCACACCCACACCTAAGACTTATACTCCAGAAATACCATAAGGAAGTAGTTCATGTATTACGATAAGATGTTATTAATATACGGTCTTTGATCGTATATCAACAACGTCTGTGTATTCAAACGTTTACCACTATACTTCAACATTTCTTTTAAACTGTGTTTCATAAAAACTTTAGAAAAGTAAATCTCAAAGCTCTTACCACCAAAAGCAGTTCCTTTCCATGTTCGACCAGTAACAAGTTGAAATGGTCGAGTTTTTATTTCTTGACCACTAGCAGCAACACCAACAATAACACTAACACCCCAACCTAATGAATTACAAATTTAATTAGATAAAGAACAACTAATTTTTTTTTTACCTTTATGAGCACATTCAAGAGCAGCTCGCTTAAATAAAAGAAAAAGAATAAATTATTCACGATAAAGAAAACAAAATCAAAAGAAGAATTTTATTTAATCAATTACCATAACTTCAACATTACCAACACATTCAAATGTATAATCAAATCCAGCATCAAATTTTTCAACAAGATATTGTTGTAACTAAAATAGAAATCAATTATTTGAAGAAAATAATATTTTTTTCTATTTTCGTACTGGATCTTTTATGTCTTTTGGATTAACAACATCCGTAGCACCGAAGTGACGAGCTAAAATATATATTTAAACATTTAATAATTTATTACACTTTATTAACCTAATTCGAATTTTTCTGGATTTGTATCAATAGCAACAATTTGTGAAGCGCCAACGTGTTTAGCACCCTAAATTTATCATTACAAAAGAAATAAATATCTTTTTATTTCTTCAAATACTTACCATAATTACAGCTAAACCAACAGCACCTAAACCAAAAACAGCAACACGTGATCCTTTTTCAACTTTTGCTGTATTAAGAACAGCACCTAATGCACAAAAAAAAAATTGTATGAATACTATAATCAATTCCATTCTTTTATAAACAAGTTATTCTCAAAGTCATTCAGCACACTTTGCTTGTGAATAGCTTTTGATAGAAACAAGAGAGACACCTGTGACTTACACTGCTTGAAAGTGTCTTTGTTAATACATAGTTTCATCTATGATTCAACACTGACGGATGTTGACTGATTTATCAGTCAGTATTTTTCTGAAATCTATTGACTGACAACTCCATCGTTGATTGACACTTTTTAATCGTATATGAAACTATGTATTCACAAAACCTCTATCGAAGGGTCAAAGTCGCAGCTCTCTGTCTTACTCGTATGAAGATTTATTTAAAGACAAAGAGTGCCGTATAACTTCTGCGCTATATTGTACTTACCATAGCCTGTTGAAACACCACAACCAAGTAAACATACTTTTTCTAATGGTGCATCTTTATCAATTTTACATAATGAAATTTCTAAGACCTAGAAATTGAACTTCATCGTCTATATTAAAAAATAAAAGTCTTGTTCTACATACAACTGAATATTCGCTAAATGATGAACAACCCATAAAATGATAAACATCTTTTCCTTGACATTTATATCGTACAGTTTTATCCGGCATTAAACCTTGTCCTTGTGTTGCTCTAAAAATATTTTCTTTATTATATTATGGAAATTTAATAACAAAAAAAACCAACATACCTAACAGCTTGACATAAATTTGTTTTTTGATTTAAACAATACTCACATTTATAACATTGAGGAATATAAAGAGGTATAACATAATCACCTAAATAATAGAAATTTCAAAAAGAAAAAAAATAGTATTACTAATAATTTATTTTTACCTGGTTGTACTGATGTTACACCTTCACCAATAGATTCAACAATACCTGATGCTTCATGTCCCTTGAAAACAAATATAAAGTTATACAAAAGATTTTTCTTTTTAAAGCTACTTACAAGAATAACAGGAAAAACACCTTCTGGATCAAGACCATCAAGTGTATATGCATCTGTATGACATAATGCCGTAAACAAATTCTAATAATAAAGGAAATTTAGTTGTATAGAAAATAATAATATTGATGCATACTTTAAGTCGAACTTCACCTTTAGCAGGTGGTGAAACTTCAACTTCCTCCATTTTTAATGGACTTTTTGCACTCCAAGCAACCGCTGCTTTACATTTGATTACTTTCTAATAAAATTAAAATAAATTATCAAGTAATCGAAAATGAAAATTAATATACTCCTGTTGTTGAAGAATTATCCGAACTCATTCTTGAAATCTTAATCTTAATAAAAAAAAAAAAGTAAAAAAATTAATTTAATACATCATCCTCTATATGCAACTCTTAAAATTTGACTACAAGCAACAATATCTTAGACTATATTTGTACTTAAACAAAAAAGACTTTATTTCTTTCAGATAAACTTACAGTTAGCACTACGAGAAAGATAAGGCAGAATTTTCATTATAAAATATATCCAATCATAATTATTTATATAGATATCGCTGTTATTCTATCTTTTTAAAATAAAAAATTCTAATGCAAAAGAAAAAAAACAATAAAATTTCATTTTTTGAATTCAATCTTTTTAAATTAATTATTAATTTTCATTATATACAAAATGAGTCATCTTTATTATCAACATACATACATACCTGCATACATACATACATACTTATTTCTTCATTGATCAACGAATTTACCAAGAAAGCAACAAACATTTTTCAATGTCGTCTCGTGTTGAAACATATCTTAATGAACGTAAATCAGCCGGTGGTTCATTAGCTAATGAATGGCTTGAATTTGAATCTCTCTATCAAAGTCGTTTATGGCATGAATTAACATTACGTATTACACAATTTGTTCATCGTGAAGAATTACAACAAGGTGATCAATTAATAAAATTTTATGAAAATTTTCTATCTGATTTTGAACATCGTATTAATCAACTAGCTTTAGTTGAAATAATTATACCTATAACACGTACATTTAAACAAGTTGATCAAGCTATACAATTTATTCAACAAATACGTGAAAAAGTTAAATCGAATTCATTAGCTGTTCTATTATGTGATATAACAATTGGTAAAGCATATTTAGTAACAAAAAATTTATTAGAAGCAAAAAAAATTATTGAAGATTTAGCACCAAAATTTGATGAACTTGATCATTTAACAACCGTTCATTCAAGATTTTATGATTTAGCATCAAATTATTATCGTGTTATGGGAAATCATAGTGAATATTATCAAAATGCACTTAAGTATCTTGGTAAATACGTTTCAATAAAAAAACAAAGAATTTCGTATTAATTTTTTATGTCTTTTTCTTTTTTTTTTTTTAAGGTTGTATTGATAATTCATCAATCCCATTAAAAGAAAAAGCTGAACGTGCATTTAATCTTGGTTTAGCTGCATTATTAGCTGAAAATGTTTATAATTTTGGTGAAATTCTTCAACATCCTGTACTTGATGCACTTAAAGATACACGTGAACAATGGTTAATTGATTTATTACAAGCATTCAATGTAGGTGATGTTGAAAAATATGAAGCATTGAAACCAGTTTGGCAAGTTCAACCAGATTTACGTATGGCTGAAACAATATTAAAGAAAAAAATCACATTACTTTGTCTTATGGATATGATATTTGCTGCAGGTGGTACACGTGCATTAAGTTTTAATGATGTTGCTACAAGAACGAAATTACCACTTGATCAAATTGAATTATTAGCAATGCATGCTTTATCATTAGGTTTAATTCGTGGAAGTATTGATCAAGTTGATGAAAAATTAAATATGCATTGGGTTAAACCACGTGTTTTAGATTTACGACAAGTTGCAACATTAAAAAAACGATTAGATCAATGGACAAATGATGTTAAACAAATGTCAACATTGGTTGAACAACAAGCCGGTGATATACTTTCTTGAGAAATTCAATAGAAAAAAAAAATGATAGATTTATGTGAAATGAATCGACTATTTAAAACAAATCTGTTATGTCTTTTTCATTTGTCTCTTATTCAACATTTTTGTTTTTTTTTAAATGCTCCATAAAAGAGAAAGAAAAAATAGTTTTTTTTTTTAATGATGTTTTCTATTGTACTTGGAAACCATTTCAAGTAAATATGAAAATTTCGTATTTGTTTTTATCGCAAGAATCGAGAGATAATCGAATATATATATATGAATTGTTGATAGTAGATAATAATCTAGTTGTTTTTCCATTGCTTCTTCGTATGTGTTCACATGCGATTTTGGATATAAATGTATGCAAGTTAAAAACCTCGTTGCAATAGAAGACATCGAATCCTCTATTAAATCTAATTCATTTTCACAGTCTTTTACCTTGACATAAATATCTCTGGAAGTACTAGTTGTTGTTCATGTAAGATTCGTGAGGATACGAATCTATAAAATAAATACAACAAACAAAGTTGTTACTAATTTATCATAAAGATTTGCGTATGAATGACTTATATTTTCAACTCATACCTAAAAGGATCCAGTTGAGTTTAGTGCTATGAATACATAATATAATAATGAATTTTAATGAGATCTGGGCAAATCTCAGGTACTCAATAACCGTTCACATGTAATTCTGGATGATCTACTCATATAAATAATAGTTGGGCGTAACTGGCAGATATTATCGTCACACTCCACTAATCTTTACTAGAGTGTAACTGTAAGGTAAGCAGTTTTATCTACTTCAAACAGTATTATGAAACTGACTGAGATTCGTGATAATCCTAGACGGTCGTGTCAGAGTTAATTAAAAGTCTTTAAAAAAAATCACAATATTTTTAAGGACTTTTGGAGATATTGTTTTAAGAGCCGTGAACTAATGCTGACTTCAGTCTTTTTTAATCTTTCAACTCACATCCAAAAAAATTAGTCATGTTTCGATGTAAATATATCAGTTAATTCTCCAACTGTGGGAGAAAGTACCATGCACATTAACGAAGTTATGTCTACCACTCCGTAAAGTGTCATTTCTTCATCATAATTTTGTAGCTGGATCCAAAAGACACACTTGGATATATGTTTTCTCTCAAATTGACTCTTCTCTCTCATGAAGAAGTATTTTAAAATTTTGTTTTCATATTTAGAAATAATCTTCTTCACTTTCTACTTCATCGTAGTCACTACTTTATCAAACTTCTTAGGAGTTGCATAAATAACTGAAATATAATCATCAAAAGTTGATAGTGTAGGTGGATATGAAAATTTGCGTTGACATTTTCTGAACAATAAAAACGAATGCATCGGCGAAACTTTTACAATTAAAGATTTTGATTTGTACACTGTTGAATTTCGAATCTCTGGATAATAGGATATTAGCTTTTACGACTGTTGAATTCTTTTCGTAGGCTTGATGGCTAGAAACTGAAAAGAGTAATTAATTCATTTGTGTCTGCGTGTCTGTTTGGCTAAAGCATGCTTTTAATAGCTGTATATGTCGTTCTGGAGATAATATGGTTTCTTCAATCATCATATCATGCATTGTTACAATGTCGCATTTTGCACCCTTCTGACCCTGACACTGTAGATTTTACAGACATGTAGTTTTAAGTTTTTGAACCATGAAATGGTAGTATTTTGAAACATTGGATTTTAAGATTATGGTATCATTGGTTTTTTAACGGTATAATTTTCGATCTTCCGACCATCCAAAGCTGTTTTTTTTTCCGATCATGGTGGTCTGAATTTTGAGATCGTAATATTCATTGTCTTTCAATGTAGAGATAAGTGAATCGATACGTGATGAATATGCCCTGTGATCGATATCAAATGACATGTCTATTAACTCGTGTGTAAGCCAATCCTAATCAAATGATATCGATTACAATAAGATTCTACATTGGGAATGGGATTTTCCATAGGTTTCAATCAGATCCAATACAGCCGTTTTACGTGAACAAGAATCGATTTTTGAGGATTCTGCTTTGCCTAAATTGATATGAAATGAAAAACGAATGTTCTTTCCATTTAATATAATGAAAGATTAGATTCATGTTCCATTAGTCCACAAAAAATTTCCATTTACGTCGTTGGATATAACGAGTCCAAGTGGTTTCAAATTTGATGACATCTCTTGTCTTGACTTAAACACGAAAGTGTGGATGTCAAACGAAACTGAGCTGTAGTCGTCAGATCAATTGGAAAAAAAGACGCCATTGTATGCTGAAAATCCCGTGTTGAATTGGAAACGTCACGCTCGAGAACTTCGACTGCAATGAGAGAAGATCCTAGATGAAAAGTTTCATTTTCAATACACAGCTCATTCCGTAAGACAGTGACAAGTTTTAGTATTCTTTCAAAAAGAAGTTTATTTTTCGAACTTTTGTCAAATACCTAGGAAACTTACAGATGTTGTTCGTCTTTTGATCGTTTCAGAGTGGACGAGAGTGCTAGATCATGAATAACTGAAGTTCATGTTTTATATGCTACTGAAGAATTTTTCATTATCTGCTCTTCTTGAAAGATCAACTTTGTGATAAAATGACTCATAATTGTTAATGAGACCGACATAGACTAGTGACTCAATTATTTGTACTTCTACTGTAATATGATATGCTTTTTCATGACGCTAGATAAAGAGTTTATTGGTTGGCTATACATCATTCTACAGATAAATGTTTCAAATGAAACAAGTTTGTTCGCTCAAAACCTTATCTATGATTAAGGAAACATTTACGGTGCTTCCAAATACAACCACCGTTTATTCTTTCGGATGGTTCAAATACGGACTAGTCTATCGTTATGTCAGATAATCGAACTGAATCACCTGCTAGCATTGGAAAACATCATTTTATTTTACAACGATAGACACAATAGCAAGTTATTCGCGGTTACACAGCAAAGTCTCTGTGTTGGTCAGTTCGTTCAATGAAGTTCAGATTTACTATCAATTTCATATAGTCTGAATAAACATGTGATGACTTTCTCATGAGCGGAAAGTCTTCAAATCGAAATGGGCAACAATAATTTCAACCTTCTTCAGTTTGCTTCGTAAAAAAAAAGAAACTGAGCATTCTGACATCATTGAAATGTAGCCAATTGCTATACGTGTCGAAGAGAGACTTTCATGAGGACACAACTATCAGCGCGATTCTAATGGAGCAGCGTAAACTTTACATTGATAGTTTTAACCTGATGTCGGTCACTACTATCGACTCCACTTTTTTCATTTTGCTTTTCTCCAAAAACGATCATATCAATTGTTTTTCGAAAAAAAGAAAACGCCTTGACAATCTGAGCTTTT